CCACAAGAGAATATAACGGAACCAATAAGTGTCTTTGATCAATTAAATTTATTTGATGATTCAAGTAATATGATGAAACGAATGGTAAGCGGAAAACACCTGGTTTCTTATTGAATGATTGATGTGTACATTCGTTAGAAACATAACATTATTTCACCGATTGTAGGGGGCAGCGGCAAAATAGCATAAGTTTTGTAGAGTACGTTGCACCGGTTTTATTGGTGAAAGCCACAATCCTTTAACTGTCACGTAAGAAAAGTAATTGAAGACTTACTGGCCCAGCAATACTAGTGAAATTTCGGTCTTTTTCTAGCTTTTTTGATTTATTTTGTAAAGCTCAGCTTGCTCCAAAATGGATACGGATGGTTACAAATGGAAAGAACATTGAAAATACTATACATGGAAGGAAAGAAAAAGGTTTGCTTCGTACAGGAACTTTTACTATCTAGATTTTCTAGAAAACTTTTCAAAGTCAAACTTTATTCAAAAATATTTCCTATCGTATGATTCAATAGAGCGTTTAATTCTGAACAAAATGAGATATTGCCAACAGTTCTAGGATTCATCGTTCAAAATACGAAAAGTGTCTGCAAAATGCTCTGTTACAAACTGAAAAAAAGAATTTACTACATATATATCTTACGAAGCGTCTAACTCCGTCATTCCAATTCGTAAAAATCTGTAGAACATGTCATTTTGTTCAGAATTGAATGCTCTATGCAACCATGAGATAGAAAATATTTTTGAATAAGATTTGACTGTGAAAATTTTTCTAAAGAATCTAGATAATCAAAGTTCCTGTATGAAGCACACTTTTTCTCCTTCAATATATAGTATTTTCAATGTTCCTTCATTTGAAATCATTCGCGTCCGTTTTGGTACGGGTTTAGATCTGGCGTGAGCTCCACAAGATAGGTCAACATAACTGAGAAAAAACAAAATTTTCACTAGTTTTGCTGAGTCAGTAAATCTTCAATAACTTTTTTTCGCAACAGTTTTAAATCTGTTGCTGCCGCCCATGATCAGTGTAATGATGATGATGTGTTTCTGATGAATTCATTCTGATGTTTGATTTTCAATATATATATATATATATATACATTTAGAGAGGATCTGATTCGCGTCGTACTGCTATTGAACGATTTTCTAAAGTAACAAATTTTCTTAAAGATGCTTTTCTTGGTCAAAACGAATTTATACAAATGAGTGATAATCCAGATGGTACAATGGGTGCTGATGTAACTGCTCTCATGGAATCATTTAGTAGAGATTTAAGAGAATCAAATAATGATGGTTTTGAAGTTATATATAAGGTTGAAAAATTTATATGAAAAGATCTTTTTGTTTTTTATTCATTAATTATTTCATTCGTAAGTTTAGGTTGATTTTAAAAATTTACCTGAAGTTATACGTTGTCAACCATTGACCAACAAAGAATGGCAAATGTTCTTCGATAAAGATGGACGTATTATAGATGTTAAAAAAGTAAAAGAACGAATTTTTCGTGGTGGATTAGAATCAAATAGATTGAGACGTGATATATGGAAATTTTTATTAAATTATTATCCATGGTCATCAACACATGATGAACGAATTGAATTAGTTAAACAAAAAGAATTTGAATATTTTGCAATGAAATTGCAATGGAAAACAATGAATGAACAACAAAAACAAAGAAATAGTTTATTTCGCGAACGAGAATCATTAATTGGTAAAGAAATTATTTATCTTTTTAGAATTAGTCGAAATTGATAATCATAAAATTGAAACTGATTCATTTCTTGAGAACAAAACAAAAAAAAATCATAACAATTATCTGTTAAGTAATTCAAAGAAGATTGCATGAAGTTATTTATAAAAAGAGATTAATTTAGAAATATGAAATGAAGTAATATTTTATATTTTTGTGAGTATTTTTCGTTTATTTGAAAAGCTGTTTAATAAAAATGATTTCATTATGAATGAGAATCTGTAATTAGAAAGTATTTATCACAAATCGCAAGAATTATTGCACGAACGATTTGACTCAATTAAACATTCCAAACTTTAGCTTGCATCTCTATATAGGTCTAACGAGTGAATCATCCTAATTGATATCCACCTTTTGAACTTATACTGGGCCAACAAGGTTACCTTGTTGAGACTAGTAAAAGTTCGTCCTCATTGACCTTTGGAGGTGAATTATGATCGTTTTACTGATGTTCGACCCAACATTAGATATATAATGAAAAATGATCGAAAAAATGTTCTTTAGTTAAGATATTGAATTTTCAAAAAATAATCACTCGTCACTTGATATTTGCAGGATATTCTATGGGTCATTCGACCTATCTTTGAAGAAAATTTTATGTCGAAATTCTACTTTTTGGTTACTCGATATATACCTAAAGCTGAGTTGAAAATTTAGTAAAACATTCTCAACTAGACTTCAAAGGCACATCGGGACAGGGCCTTGTAGACCCAACATGTAAGCTCGAATGTCAAGTATTAGTTCGGGTGACTCCCTCGTAAGTGTATAAATTTTAGAAAAAAAAATTGAGCGAATTTTGTCCCACAAATATGAAGAAAGACTATTTATTTGATGATGTGATCTTAGTCTACCTTATAAACCATCTAAACAGACTTTCTTCTTCCGTTCAATGAACTTAACTTTGCATCAACTTTCTCTCAAAAGACAATTTACTTAGGTCTATTTAGAAATGTAAGCAAAAGTTTGGAATCTTCAATTGATCTAAATTATTCATGACATTCGTATAATGACACATGTCAAAGGTCTTAAGGGAAAATCCCCTCGTCAGATGCTAATGTCTCGGCTGGTACATATAGGAAATGGCTAAAAACTTTACTCTTTATCTAAAACAACGTGCTCTATAGCAATAGATTATGTCTCTCGTAAGAAGTCGAATTCTGAAGGAGTAAAAGACGAATCCAGGATCTTAGAGGCTTCTAGTAGATCGTAAAAGCAGATTTACCAGTACATTTCGTTGTTCACTATGATCTAAACTTAGCGAATTTAACATGATTTCTACTAGACTCTAAGAATCGAAGACTTCATCAGGATTCATTAGAATCCACCGAAGTTCACTAGGATCTTAGGATCTCGAATTTGCTTTATTACTGATGTCTAGAATTCAACAGTTTCGATTTCTCAGTTTTCGTTTTCAATATTCATTCGATGTAAATTCTTCTCTAGTTTGTCTCATACATCTTTTTACTTTTAGACAAAGATGCAATACGTACAGATCGAACACATGAATATTTTCAAGGTGATAATAATGTTCATCTTGAAGTTTTACATGATATATTAATGACTTATAATATGTTTAATTTTGATTTGGGTTTGTAGATATATGAATTTGATTTTTCTCCAAGTTATACTTCTATTTCTTTTTTTTTTTTGTGTTAAGGGTATGTTCAAGGTATGAATGATTTATTAAGTCCAATATTAATTGTTATGGACAATGAAGTTGATGCATTTTGGTGTTTTGTTGGACTTATGGAACGTATGGAACAAAATTTTCATATGGATCAATCACATATAAAACGTCAACTTAGTAATCTTCATACACTTCTTCAATTTATTGATGCTGAACTTGCGAATTATTTAGGTAAAAAAAGTAAAATAAAGGATACCGCCGAATACGAGATCGTAGATCTGTCATTCCTTTATGGCGGAGGACTATGACAATGATAGTTTTTTCTTATGTCAACTTCATATGAAAACTGACTGTTTAGATCAGTATACTTTTTCATGCTCTATAAAATGACACATTTATCATATTTATCGATGAGTTTTTACCGAGTGAGAAGCTGAATTCTGCCTAAACTAATCAATAAACATGATCAATATGTCATTTTGTAGAGCATGAAAAACTATAGTTACCATAGTTCTTAATCAAAACTGATAAACACCCGTAAGACTATTTAGTCTTGGAAAACAACTTTTCTGTATTCAAGAAAATAAATACACAAAATTGTGCAGAATTTCATGCTGTATTTTTCTAATCTATTGTTTGAATCTAAGTTTGTGGCAGATTTACGATTTCTTATCCAGTAGTATCTTTTCGTAACTTTAATAATTCAAACAAAAACAAAAAATTTATTTTAGTCGAAAATAATTCAAGTAATATGTACTTTTTCTTCCGGTGGATGTTAATTTGTTTTAAACGTGAATTTTCATTTGATGATGTTATGTATTTATGGGAGGTAAATCTTTTTTTTTTTGTTTAATAATTAAATAATTTTATTTGTAAACAATTTCAGGTTATATGGACAGATAATTTATGTCAAAATTTTGAGTTACTTGTGTGTTTAGCTATATTGATTTCACAAAAAACAGTTATTATGGAATCAAAATTTGGTTGTAATGAAATTCTTAAAGTATGTTGTAATATTTTTCTTTAAATCAATTGAATATGAATATGTATATATATATTTAATAGCATATCAATGATCTCTCACTTAAAGTTCCATTAGAACCATTATTAAAACATGCAGAAGGTCTTTATATACTATTAAAACAACATGATCAATCAACACCTGGTCTTCCAGCATCTATATCAGCAATTATGTTTCCAAATAAAAATAAAAATCTAAAAAAATCAAATAAAAATAATAATCAAGATTCAGATTCGGATGCAACATCAACAATATCATCTGTAAAATCTTCACGTGAACCATCACCAAATCCAAATATTGAACGAAAGACTCGTACAAGACAATTAACTGAATCACATTCAATTGATGAAAATGATAGTGCAGTTGTTAGTCATACTAAAAACAATTAATATTATATATATTTTTTTTGTTTTGTTTCATTGTTGTTGTTGTAGTTGTTTCATCAATTCTCTTTGTTTTTTTTTAATCAATGCACATTCTCGTACAAATAATTCTGTTCGAGAACAAGGAAACAAAATAACATAATCATTATATTTTTTTTCTCCTTACACGTCTAACGATATATTTATTCTAGATAAATTATAACAAAGAGAAAAAAAATCATGAGTGAAAAAAATTTAGTCAATAAAAAAGTTGATTCAGATGATGATGAAGATAATGATGATGATTATTGTCCGACAAAAACTCATAATGAACAATCGGATCAAAGTGATGAATCAGAACATAATGATGATGATGACGATGATAATAATGATGATGATACTGTCAATGATCAAAATCAACAAACAGATAATAAAAATCAAAATGATTTGAATGTAAAACCTTATGATGAATCCAAAACAAATGACCTTTGGAAGAATTTTACAAGTAGTACGAAATCATCATCGATAAAGATAGATAGTCCAAAGACAACAACAGAACTACCAAAATCAACAATACAAAATTCAAAACCAATAACAACTAATAAAATACTTGAATTTGCTGGTGAAAAAATTTCAGTGCCAGTTACAACAACTACAACGACATCGACAGAAAATTCATCTTTAAAACGACCAGCTTCTTCATCAACAACATCTAATTCCGTACTTGATCGTCTTGGTATTGGTAAAAAGCAAAAATTATCAACATTAGAAAAATCTCGTCTTGATTGGAAAACGCATAAAGAATCGGAATCATTAATAGATGATTTGGAGTCTCATCGACGTGGCAAAGATTCATATGTTGAAAAGAAAGCATTTCTACAACGTTCAGAACTACGTGAACATGATCATTATTTATTTAATGTAAAAAAGAAATGAGTTTATGCTACATTGTTATTATATAGATAATATTAAAAAAAAACAATGCAAATCTAAGAGTCTCTTTTGTCTCAATCAAATTATATAATTAATGTTTTTTTTTCTGTATCTATTTGTCTAGTTTTTTAACCAATTTCAAATCGAATACAAATCTTCTAATCTATCATTATTGATTATCAAATTAATCGACTAATCATAATCAATCCCAAATTACATTTTTATTCAAACAAGCATAAGGTACGATAGATTTGGATCATTTTTGAATTCATCAAGCATTTGATTCAATGGAAAAGCAGTAGATTATGATCTTCTCACATGATGAACAAAGGTATAAGTCGATGCCATAATTGATGGCGACCGACATATCTCAAAAGTTTTGCGTCCATCGACGACGCCACAGTCAATCGACTTACATCTCTATCCATGAATGAGATGAGATTTTTTTTATAGTTATTTTTCTAAAATTATAAAAGAAAATATATTATTTTTAGATTTCAGATAACAGTTTTGTTATGCAATAAACGATGAATAGAAGTATTGCTTTTAAAGTAGTTCTATTAGGAGAAGGCAGTGTTGGTAAAGTAAGAAACTTGAAAAAAAAACTTTTTTTTTTGTAAGGGTCTATAGAATTCATTCTTTTAGACTTCAATTGTTCTACGTTATACAGAAAATTTATTTAATGATAAACATCTTGAAACACAACAAGTAAATTTATAAGTTGAATATTATGAATATCTTTTGTTATGTTTTATTAGGCTTCTTTCAAAACAAAAAAATTAAATTTGGATGGTCGTCGGGTTGATTTGGCTATATGGGTTAGTCAAAGTTTCATTGAAAAAACCTTTTAAATTATTATATTTATTAGGATACAGCAGGACAAGAACGATTTCGAGCACTTGGGTGGGTATTGACATTTTAATTTGTCGAAAATAAATATTTTATTGAATTTTATTTCATTTTTAGTCCTTTATATTATCGTGAAGCAAATGGTGCTATACTTGTATTTGATATAACAGATGAAGATTCATTCGATCGAGTATGTTTATTCCATTACGAAAATAAACTTAATAAGATATGATTTATTTTTAACTGAAGGTAAAAAGTTGGGTAAAAGAATTAAAACGAATGTTGGGCGATGATGTAGTTTTATGTATTGTTGGAAATAAAATTGATCTTGAAAGAGATCGCCATGTATCCATGCAAACAGCCGAAGAATATGCTCGATCAGTTAATGCAAAACTTTATCATGCATCAGCTAAATTAAATAAAGGAATTGAAGAACTTTTTAATGATTTAGCTGCTCGTAAGAATTCTTTTTCATGATAATTGAATATATTTAGTAATAATTTGTTTTTATTTTCAAAAGGTATGCTTGAAAAAGTACCAGCAACTTCAAATAATTCGAATGCACTTCGACCAAGTGGAATTCCCATTCAATCATCTTCAACAACAGGTGAAAATGGTCGGCAGAAGGCTGGCTCTTGTTGCTAGTGCTTTGTTTTTTAAATTTTATGTTTATTCATGTGAAAAATCGAAGTTTAAAAAAAAACCTATTATTATTTTTTTTTTCATGCTCTTATTTTCTATTATTATTATAAATTTATGTTCAATTTCTAACTACAAATTCTCTGATATTTCTCTCGGTTGATCGATACACAATGTACGTTCTATCAAAACTCGAAATAGAGCTACACTTTTTTAGACTTGATCTTCATATGAACCTCCTCAAAGTGTTTGTATCTATCATCGATTTTCGCCGGTCTTGTCTGTCTTTAGCGGCTGCTGTCTTTGTTTTTTATCTACTAGCATTATGATAATAATTGAATACAAGCACAATACTTTCTTGATAACAAGATAAGGAATGCTTGTTTTTACTGGAATGATGACTGTACGAAATATGTACTGATGTAGTAAAGCGTGTATTTGCCGAGAATAGACAAAAACGAAAAGATTAACATTAATAAAAAAATCTGTTTTTATTTTGAAATATTTAAAATAAATTTGATGAGCTAGTTGAAGAAACAATATCGAATCCTGCCATATCATGATAATATAAATATGAATTAGAAAACAATAAACATTAGCCAATGATTCATGTATAATAATAATAATAATAATATTAATTGAATAGAAAGTGTAAAAAATAACTCAGAAAACCGGTTGAGTAAAGTAAATCATATAATGAGCGATGAACAATCTATTATTAGACATGATTATGTCCCGTTAAAATGGAAAAACAAAACCATTTCTTCCATATTAATCTTAGATCACATAATATTTCTGAATATGTAACCTGTTGATAAATTACCGAAAAAAAAAACTTTTCAGAGCTTAA